ATGATGATGATGATGATGCTCATGAATCAGCAGAAGCCCAAAGGGTCTCGACGAGGCAAGGCCAGCGGCTCCATCCTTGGTGGTTCCGACTCCGAAACTTCGGGGTCCGAAGACGACTTCCGGGGAAAAGGTATGAAGGCGGTGGCCCAGCTTCACAAACTGCAGGAGCAAATCCAGCGGCGGCCTCGGAAAATCTGCGAGCAGTTCGAGAAAGAGGTCGTGGAGGAGCTGGGAGTTGTAAAAGGCCAGCAGTGGACTCTTCGCGACTATGTGCGCAAGCAGCAGTGGGGCAAGTTCAAGGGCATCTACAGATGTGCGATGATGGACGTAGCCGTGTACGAGAGCCTTCGGGCGGGCGACGCGGAAATTGCGGCGGCGCAGGTGGTGCAGAACTTGAAGGCCAAGTTGCAGAGCGTGCTGCAGGGTGGCGATTGGTCGGCGGCGTGGCTGCTGACGGGGCTTCCAGATCCTTTGGCTCGCCGGGAGTTTGCGGGCTCGAAGGAGGAGATGTCGATCATCTCGGGGTATGTCGAAGCTCTTCACAAGCTCCAGAAGCGAGTTCGCGAGAGCCAGAGCCGAGGTCATGCGGACGAGGACGGGGACGAGCAGCCCAGCTCGAGCTCCAAGAAGTGATCAGGCCTTATGTCGTGCACGTCCCCACGAGTACAGCTGTAAAACATCCTGGATTGGTGGGGTTAAATTCGGAGACGAAATTTATCAAATATTTGGCTTGGTTTGAGAGCTGCCAAGGTTCCCGGCTGGATCTGTCCAGCGATTCTTTAGCATTGTTCCCGAGCATGCTGCCCTATCCCGAAGCTCTGCTCCCTGCGGGCACAGAGGTTGGGACCGAAGAGGTGGTCACATGGTGGATCAAGGCGTTCCTCAATGCGTTTATCGCCTGGGGAAACTTTGTGACGCTGGGTTGCCCTTCCTTTGGTAGCAGTGCGTACGAGCCGCGAGTGGGCCATCGAAGCATGGAAAGCATCCGGGTTTTCACCGATGAGCTGCTTGGCGAGATGCGTGAATTTGTTTGCTTAGACCTTGTGCTGGGGAAGCTCGGTTGCGAAGGCAAGCGGGCTACGGTGGAGCAGTTGCTAGCGCAAGTGTCTTGTATAGGTGGTGCATGTTACATGTCCGAACCCGTGGGGGGATCACTTCCTTCGACGGCTTTGCCTGTGACGGCTTCGAGGGTGGCTATCCCTGAAGTGGCGGGCACGGTGGATCCGCTCCAATGGCTGGAGCCCGAACGGGCCGAGATAGTGGCGAACCTTGGTCAGTTGAGATTGCCTGAGCCGTTGTGGGAGGACATTGTTGTCGCATGCCATCGTGTTCCTGAGGAGGACGAACCGGCACTCGCGAGGAAGCTCCTTGAGACGGGCATGGCAGTCTTGATACCTGAGCAGGACCTTCCTCACGACAGTGGGGGCCGATTATTGGCCGGGGGCTTGTTTTGTGTAGGCAAAAACGCTCAAGAAGATAGACTTATCTATGATCGTCGGCCAGAAAATGGAACAATGCCACGGTTAAGGTGGGCCGAGCTCCCTTCGGGGGCGTGCTTCACTCGACTGCTCCTCAGGCCAGATCAGTATCTTCGCGGTTCAGGGGATGATCTACGAAACTATTACTATTCCCTGAAGTTGCCCGAGAACTGGATTAGATTCAACTCTGTTGGTCGTCGGGTTTGTGCAGAGGTCCTTCGAGAACACGGCCGTGATTCGCAGGTGCCGCATCGTCTGTGCTTCCGAGTCTTAGGTATGGGAGACCGAAACGGGTGCTGCATAGCTCAGGCTACACATGAGGCGGTGCTGAAGAAGCATGGTGTGTTGGACGAGGCGAATAAGCTAGTGTATGGTCGTCATGTTCCAGTTGGTGATCGTTGGGAGGGTGTGTATTTAGACGACCTGCTGATCACTCAGAAAGTGTCCATGCCTTACAACATCCCTTTGGACGGCACGTTCATACCTCCGGTCGCCCAGGCCGGTGATGATGACATGGTGCAGGTCGCACGGGCCGAACAGGCCTATGAGCAGGCTAAGCTGCAGCGGGCTGTTCACAAAGCATTCCGGGCTGAGACTTCGTTTCGAGCTTGGGGCGCGGAGGTTGATGGAATCAAGGGCTCCGTGGGGGCCCCGAAGGAGATGCGCAAACAGCTGTGGGTTCTGATTGAGAAGATCGTTGCAGGTGGCTACGTTTGTCAAGACGTGCTTCGAAAGATTGTGGGGTACCTGGCATTTTGTTTCCAGTACAGGCGTGAGCTCTATGCGTTGTTACACCACATGTACAAGTACATTGATAGGATGCCGAAGAGTCGTTGGGTCAAGATTCCAGGGCACATTGAGGATGAGTTGCGTAGTTGTGCATTGCATCTTCCTTTTGCGTGCTGCTCAATGAGGCGTCGGCTGGCTGGCACGGTCCTGGCAACAGATGCGACGCCTACGGCAGGCGGCGCGGTCCTTGCGAGAGTGCCCTCAGAATTGGCATCCGAACTGTGGCGTAGATCAGAGATTCGGGGCCAGGCGGTGCGGATCGATCGCGACAGTGATCTTTGCTTAGATGCGGAGGTCCCTGCCGAGCCCTCGAAGTTCGCCAGCGTGGTGTCTCAATGTGTTCATTGGCATGTCCGAGCTAGCTACACTTTTCGCCAAACCTCGCACATTAATCTCCAAGAGGCGCGAGCTCTACGACGAGAGTTGATGCGCATGGCCGCGGACCCAGCTTGGAAGAATCACTTAGTCATTTGCCTCAACGACAGTAGGGTGGTGGTTGGTTGTATGGCAAAGGGACGGTCCTCAAGCTACAAGCTTAACGGAATTATGCGATCTCTGGTGCCGCACTTGATCACTTCGGGTTTGGGAGTGGGCCTGATATGGATCGAGACTGGTGCGAACATTGCAGACCACCCATCACGGTTCACATCTTTGCCCCCTCCTTGCCGAGCGCCCAGGTGGTTACAGAAGTTCGGTGTGGGCGAGCGAAGCCACATGACAGGCGTGGAGGTGTTCACGAGGAACGGGGGCATCACATCAGCATGTTTGTCGAGAGGCTTTCGGATGCTGCCAGCAGTGGATCTTCAAGGTGGTCATGATGCATGGGCGGGGGACGTAGAGTACCTGTTCCGTGAAGCAAGTGTTGACTGGGCCTGGTTTGTTCCTCCTCGTGGTTCCTTCCGCCCTCTTAGACGTGATGCCCGAGGTTCGAAGCTTCGCACCAAGGAGGCTCCAGAGGGCAACAAGGCCTGTCGTGAAGTAGTGGAGGGGAATGCGCTGTGGTGGCGCACATTGGAGTTGGGTAGTGCGGCTCTTCGAAGGGGTTGCCAAGTTGCGATTGAGCATCCAGCCGAAAGCTGGGCATGGCGACTGCCTGAGACTCGGATGTTTGCGCAGAAGTGGGGCTTGCAGTGTCACCGTTTAGATCTCAGCATGTTCTCATGTGAAGTTGGAAAGCGCGGCCACGGTCACCGACATGTGAGGATTTTATCGAATGCC